TTATTTATTTTTCTATGTTGCTACGCCTTAAGCTGAAGAAACTAATTTAAACAAGTTCCTCTTCTCTATGGTCTATAAGTACAAAATCATGCGTTACTGTTATTATTATTATTTATGATGATGAAGTTTTACATGATTAATTGAAAACTTTGTAAAATGCTACTCACTCACCTACTTACTTAACGGCCTACTTACCTAACTGTTTTTAGCTTGCCTTCTTAAGTATTTGCTTAAATCAGATAGTCTTTATTACTAACTCAACAGTTAAAACTCCTCTGCCATCTAGATTCAGTCTACGTTTATAACACGATGGCATAGAAAAACTATTTAGAATGAACTAATTTTATGTCTACAGGTGTGAAATATTTATTTCATTCAATTGGGGTGTGTAGAAATAATGAATCAGGTGTAACATAATCACCACACATTCTATGGTTTATTCCGACTCCCCCTCCCCACACCTCTTTTTCACACTATTTTCCTTCACATAGGTAAACTAACCAAGCTTGAATTAAACATTTGGAAAAAACGACAGTGTAGGAAAAGAGACAGAGTAAGATATGAGAGAGAGGGAGGATGAAAAAGGGAAAGAGGGGAGGATTCAGGTTTCATTTAGATTTCGCATCTGTGTAAGCCATATTAAATTTAAAAAATGCAGTTCCACACTGCACGAAGTACCCGTGCACACCATTTAGGATGTGTGGATAGTCAAGGTCATGCGTTTCAGTTTTGGAGAATGAAGAACCTCCCACCTGAACAATCTATCTCTCAGCATCCAGTTTACTTCGGAAGCAGGCAGAATCAGACGTTGGTGAACTGCCACTTCCAAACTGCCTAGTTAAGAGGAGAGAAAATGGACATTTTGGTATATCTATATTCAAAAAGAAAACCCACTCCAATAAATACTTAGACTTCGGATCATCATATTCCATCAGAGCAAACGTATCAGTTGTTTCAAGTCTTCTTAGACGAGCACACTCTTTGATAACGGATGAGAAAGAAGAAGGAGAAATATCAAACATCACTGAGACTGTCAAGCGAAATAACTAACCAAAGAACTTTGTCAACAAAACCAACAATCATATCAAGTATGGACGAAAACGCATTCTGAAAACATGAACCTCGACAGTCATCATTCCGTATAGATCAAAGACGTCAGACGATATCAGAAGAGTACTCAATAAGCTTGACATTAGAGTTTTCTTGAAAACATCAGACACACTGTTTCTACAAAATGAAATGCTTGGAATGTGTTGCGATATACATCGGACAAACATCTCGAGAAATCAAAACCAAAAGAAATGAACACCGTAGAGCATCTGTTCGACCACCGAGAAATCCAGTTGAACTAGAAAAGCTTGAAAAATCATCAGCCATGGGTCTGTACGCTTTAGAATCAGGCCACAAAATTGATTTTGACAATATTGAAATAATCTAGAAAAAATTCAAAAGTCACAAAGAACGTCTAATATCAGAAGCACTTCATATCAAATGGAATCCAAATTGTCTGAATAGGAATGATGAAGGAAATCAGAATTTGACCTGGTTACAACACCCCTCCCCCATGAAATGAGCAATTTCATTGTGTAAACACAGGCTGCTTTCATAATTTTACACACTTATCAAATCCAACATTTGACACCTGGTTTTGAGATCTTCACCAATTGGCCAAATAGACAACGCAAAAATGACCCCATGCTGAGGAACGATGATTAAGTTGATATATATGAGCTGAGATTTTTTTATATATTCTGGTTTAATACTTTGATACTTTGATAAATCTATTAGCATTAAATAGCGTAACGTCAGTGAAAACAATATCCTTTTATTTTTCATTCATTGGGAAATGCAAAAAAACCTTTATTTTATAGGGTTAATCGATTATTAGCCCCAAACGATTTGAACAATTACAGCTCTTATATTCATTCTTTGGTCTATAGAAAGTGCATAAATAGTCATTCATTTTCATATAATCCATTAGATGAGTGGTTTCATACTTGATTAACATGCAAGCATACAATGACACAAAATATATCACAGCATAATGCATACAAATAAAGCGTGATAGCATAGCTTCAAATATGTAACTAAAAATATTTGAAAACCACTCTTTAGTCTCATCTTTTCATATTCAGTCATAAATACTGAAATTACTTAAAATACTGACAAGTTTACAACATTAAACATTCATAATTTGTGATCCACAAACTCACCGTTACTGCCAAAATGTTATCATGTACATAAAGCTATGTTATAATTATTGGTCCCTTGGGTTCCTAGTGGAACATAGAGCTTCAACTACACGTCTCCACTTGCTTCTGTCTTCTGCTGTACTTTTCACATGCATCCATGTTAGCACATACTGTTTCAACTCTTCACACGATCTCCTCCATATCACCCTTGCACTGACGGCCCACTCGCCGCTTCCCTTTCGGGTTCCACTCGAGCGTTGACCTGACGCATGATGTCACCCAGCGAGTGGCCTCCTCAGTGAGTGAGTGTCCAATCCATCTCCACTTTCTCCTGCATATTTGTTGAGCGATTGGTTCTTGTTTTGTTTGTTTCTTCCCATAGTTTGTTTCTTGTTGGTTCTTGTTCTTTCCGGCGGCCTTCTGATCTTCAGTATAGAGCCAGCGAAGACAGTTAGTTGTTGATAAAGGTCTGCCACTGGCTGTTGGAAATACTCATTCTTTGTGACACACTGGCCAAGTTTCTGATCCATCCGTATAGAAGAACTGACTGACTGACTTGACGTTTGTTTTGAAAATCCGAATTTTGTTGTTGATGCTGGCTGGGTTGAGTGACAGCGGAAGATTTCCAGATTGGTTTCAGGTTGATGAATGTGTTTCTCGCCTTCCCGATTCTCGATTTGACATCCTCGTCCGTTCCACCTGCCTGTAGTTGAGACAATGCTCCCTAGATAAGTGAGTGAATGAAGTAACCTCTTTCAAATTCCTCCGGTTGATGGTGATTGGCGCTGGATGTTGCTGCTGCTGTTGTTGTTGTTGGTTGGTTATTTTCATAACCTCGGTCTTGTCTATGTTCATCTGGAGTGCTGTGTTTGCTGCTTCTTCGACCAGTTTGTCGGTTTTCGCTTGGAAGTCTTCGATTTTGTGTGACATCAAACACAAATCATCCATGCGCGAAATCCAGATCTTCTAGGTTCTTCACACTATGTACATTAGAATAAAGCCTGAAGATCTCATTGAAAACAATACTGTTCTCTTGCGTGTCTTGATGTAATCGTAACCGACGTAAAGTTTACCTGTTCATTATTCAGTCTATTAGCACTGCAAAATTCACTAAAGAAGTTCAATCACAGCACCTTCATATATGTATATATATATATATATATCTTCCATGTCACATTCACATCGACTACCTACTCGTTGCTTCTCATTCGGGTTACACTTGAGCGATGGCCTGGTGAGCGATATCAATTGACAGTTTCCATTTTATTCCTTACATATCTGTCGAAAGACTGGTTCTTGGCTAGTTTTTTCCCCATAGTTTCTTGCTGCTAATTCTTCCTGGCCAGCCATTTGATCCGCATTATAGAGTGAAGACAGTTGTTGATGAATGTCTGCAAACTGTTTGAAAGGCTTTTTATTATAAACCACGTTTCTGATCCATACAGAAGAAGTGACGACTTCACATTTGTGTACTAAATACGAACCTTGATGTTTTGACCTGAGTGCATAAGATTTCCAAATGGATTTTTAGATTGATGAAGGTGTATCTTGGTTTTTCTGATTCTGGTTTTTACATTCTCATTCCTTTCTCCTATGGTTGAAATGGTGCTTCCTAGATAAGTAAGTACACTAAATAGCACTCACTTTCTGTTCAAGCTTAATTTTCCCTTGAAAGTTGGTCCAAACTGATAACATAACCAGCTCATATAATAAAAACAATTTCTGTGTATAAGGCGACAATTTCCATATATTTTATTTGTAAAGTCACTTAGACTACCAAGTCTGAAATACACATATCTTTTAAGGATAAACACTGATCCCGTAAAAAGCAGAATACGTGCCTATGATTCCATCCCTAGTGGACAGCAACCATGTTAACATCGATTTTAACCTCAGGACATAATAGAAGCGTTAGCACCACCAGAGGCTGAGTTGGACTTTGGTCCTAAATTGCTGTTAGTCACAATCACAGCTGAGCAAAGTAACTCTTGGGTACTCTTAAAAATCTATGTCTAAATCTGTAGTGCTAGATATACATGTGCCTGTCATTGAACAGTCCTCATTATCATGTATACAGCCAATGGAGGCTGACAGCCACCGGGAAGGGACTGTTACAATAAATTTAGTTTAGGGAAAAGCGACCTTGCAGATTTTCAACTCCAATGTGAAGTCAGTCAGTGCTACTCACTATACGGATGGATCAGAGACTTGTACTGCGCGTCATAAACAGCATCTCAAACAAACTACAGACCTTCATCAACAGCTAGTTGTCTTCGCTCAATAACACTCAAGATCAGATGGCCGGCCAGCCAGAAAAGATCAGCAACAGAGAGGGATCTCTGGCAATGAGCGAACCATCTCAGCAGGAACCGATTGTGAAACAAATAGGCAGGCAGGAAGAAATGGAGATGGATGGATTGACTGGCCATACTCTGAGGAAACAAACCATCAAGTGAGTGACATCACTAGACAAGCCATTGTTCGAGTGGAACCTGACTGAAAGGGAAGCGGCGATTTGGTCGTCAGTTCGAGTGTGGGTGACTTGGAGGAGGTGATGTGAAGAGGAGATGAAAGCCTGTGGGCAGACTTGGAGTCAGGTGAAGACTCTAGCAGAGAACCGAAGGCATTGGAGACGCGTGGCTGAAGCCCTATATTCCTCTAGGAATTAAAGGAAACAATAATAATAGTAATAAGTCACCGGAAGTATCGCTCAAACGAATCTTTTTGCTTAAAAATAACCTCAAGTTTCATATTTCTTTCTATCCGCCAACTAAAATCTTATATATTTTTCTTCTTCTGTAATTACAGACTCATATACAATTACAATTCATTACAGAATTATGCTTATTACAAAAAGGTTTGGCGAATCATTACTATGTTTTAAATCAACATCAACCTCACCAGCAACAACATCAACAAGCTGGACAAATTCACCTACCAGAGACAGGTGATACAAAGTCAAGTTTTTCAGCTTGTGAATTAATCGGTCCGAATTCACAGTTTACTGAACAAGCCTTATCCATACTGTCCACCTGGCGATTGGATCCCATGACAAATAAACAAATCAAGCATACACTGAAAACACCAACCTGCCATTTTTCACCAATCGTTCCAGCTACTTATGCTGAAAGTAAGTAGTATGTAGTGTACATTTTGTATATATATAGAAAGAGAGCTGGATGGGTAGAACAGCTCTTCAGCTGTCATGATTTGTGTCAGTTATTAAGTTAGTAACACTCTTCACCCTCAGTTTTTCTTCAGTGTCTTTCGTAGTGACAAAAATTATGTGTTCTCTGGCTACAGCCAATATATCCTACACCGCAAGAGCAGGTGAAGTGATAGATGCACATGGAGGTGGCTAGACGAGGAAGCTTATATTTTACAGAGATGGAGAACAACTTGCTGCTGGTGAAAGTCATTTGCAGTTTTGCAGCAAAGGACGTCTTACTGGCTGATTTAGAGAGATGATTCTCGAGTATATTTGAAGCCTAATCACTTTTGAATACCAAATTCATGAAGATGGTTTTATTTGGCAATGAGTTGATGACCAGTTCGGACTGCTTATCTCTCGTCTTTTTGTCAATAATTCGGTTTGGGTAACTTTTCTGCTAGTGTTGCTTTAAGGAAGGAAAGTTCTGATACTTGATTACGATCGTATTCACAAACATTTAATTGCATTTCATACTACTACTATTATTATTATATTATATATGCACAGCTTTGTTTAAATTTCCAAAGGGGATATAATTTCTGAAAATCTGTCTATATACGTTTGTATAGATTGACAATAAATCTGGTGAAAAGAATCTCATCGCTAACTGTTGTGTTCTTGAAGACATATTGTGGTGAGAGCAAGCTGCTAGCCAATTGGTAGACATTGATCTACGCTGATTGGTGGAAATTAATCTAGGCTGATTCAACAACCGATCACAGCTGACCTAGACGTGGACAAATATGATGCGCAGACAAGTGGCTCGCATTTCCGAGAAATATCGAAAACGAGAAAGCAGAAGACTGCGTTTGTTTGCAAACAACCAATCAGAAGACCGCCTTCTTTCTGCGGGCAGAGCCTTATTACTGTACGTAAAATACATATAAATACCTGTTGGTTTTCGTAATAAAACTGATCTGTTGCCTGGCCCTTGTCTTCTGTTGTTACATTTGGTGTCGCTGCCTACCGACAAATGGAAAGCCTATGCCCTGCAGTTTTTGATGGAGACATATGGATCTTCGGGCAGGACTTCGAGGCTTCTTCGCAGTCGAGTGGCGTTCAAGATCTGTCAGCGATGAGGCTGCTACTTGGGACGCTGCTGGGAGGTCGGGAGAAAGCAGCATATGGAAGTGTGAGGCGAAATACCTACGAATGTGCGACAGGGTCATGCAAACAGTTTCCAAAGTGGGAAGGACCATATATGGTCACGTTGAGATGGGGTTACGCAGACACAATCGCAATGGTAAACACCGCTAAACAAGTGGACATCCGCAAGCGCCGAGATTCCAGACAGCAAGATAACAGAGCAAAGCCCCAAGAACCGAGAAGACCGAGCCGAATTCAGTCCGAGCTATTTGACGGGGGGACGAGTGTGGTGAGAGCAAGCTGCTAGCCAATTGGTAGACATTGATCTACGCTGATTGGTGGAAATTAATCTAGGCTGATTCAACAACCGATCACAGCTGACCTAGACGTGGACAAATATGATGCGCAGACAAGTGGCTCGCATTTCCGAGAAATATCGAAAACGAGAAAGCAGAAGACTGCGTTTGTTTGCAAACAACCAATCAGAAGACCGCCTTCTTTCTGCGGGCAGAGCCTTATTACTGTACGTAAAATACATATAAATACCTGTTGGTTTTCGTAATAAAACTGATCTGTTGCCTGGCCCTTGTCTTCTGTTGTTACAATATGAGTGGCGTAAGTTATTATAAAGTGAGCTGGATTTCCTCTAGCAATTTTGTTGATCAACGATTCGATCCACAGTGCAGTCGTCGACACACATTGATGAAATGTACCAGACTAAGTTGAAGCATTGAAAATGAACCCAGAGACAACAGCGGACTTGATGACGCCACTACTTGAGAAGGTGTGGAAAGAGGACAAGGTACCCGATGATTGGAAGAACGGATACTTATTCAAACTACCAAAGAAAGGAGACTTAAGTCAATGCAATAACTGGCGCAGCATCATGCTCCTGTCCATCCCAAGCAAATTACTAAGCCGCATCATCCTGGAGAGAATCAAACATGCCCTGGATGAAAAACTTCGACCGGAACAAGCTGGATTCAGGAGAAACAAGTCATGTGTTGATCAGATAGCCACATTACGGATCATCATTGAACAAAGCTTGGAATGGCAGTCACCTCTCTATCTCAACTTCATCGACTTTGAAAAGGCATTCGACAGCGTCGATCGAGACGTGATTTGGCAACTACTTCACTATTACGAGGTGCCACCGACAATTATACATCTCATCCAAAAGCTGTACGACAATGCTGCATGCAAAGTAATCCACAACGGGAAACTTACGGAATCCTTCGAAGTGAGGACAGGAGTAAGACAAGGCTGGTTGGCTGCCTATTATCGCCAATGATTTTCCTGATTGCAGTAGATTGGATAATGCGACAAACAGCGGCGAGCAATGAGGAAACAGGCATAAAATGGACTCACACAAAAAACTTGGAGGATCTGGACTTCGCCGATGATATATGTCTGATTTCCCACAAACTGGAAGATATGCAAGCGAAAAGCAACAAGTTGGCAGAAGAAGCATCCGGAGAAGATAGGACATTCAGGTGAACATAGAGAAAACAGAGGTGATGAAGATTCCTGGCCAACACCACCAACAGCAACAACAACAACAGACAACAATCAGCATAAATGGAAGGAACCTGAAAGAAACAACCTCCTTTACCTACCTACCTACCTGGGAAGCATCGTTTCAACTACAGGCGAACGGAACTGACGAGGATATCAAAGCAGCGAGGATCGGAAAAGCAAGACAAGCTTTCACTACTCTCAAGTCTGTGTGCAGGAGGTCAACAGCCCTACTCAGCATCAAAACGAAGATAAGATCCGGATTTTCAACTCCAATGTGAAGTCAGTCAGTGCTACTCACTATACGGATGGATCAGAGACTTGCACTGCGCGTCATAAACAGCATCTCAAACAAACTACACACCTTCATCAACAGCTAGTTGTCTTCGCTCAATACCACTCAAGATCAGATGGCCGGCCAGCCAGAAAAGATCAGCAACAGAGAGGGATCTCTGGCAATGAGCGAACCAACTCAGCAGGAACCGATTGTGAAACAAATAGGCAGGCAGGAAGAAATGGAGATGGATTGGCTGGCCATACTCTGAGGAAACAAACCATCAAGTGAGTGACATCACTAGACAAGCCATTGCTCGAGTGGAACCCGACTGTATTGGAAGCGGCGAGTTGGTGGTCAGTGCGAGGGTGGGTGACTTGGAGGAGGTGATGTGAAGAGGAGATGAAAGCGTGTGGGCAGACTTGGAGCCAGGTGAAGACTGTAGCAGAGAACCGAACGCAATGGAGACGCTTGGCTGAAGCCCTATGTTCCTCTAGGAATTAAAGGAAACAATAATAATAATAATAATAATAATAATAATAATAATAATAAGTTGGAGACAACTGTTCAGTTCCTACTTCCCACCAAAGTTAGTCGTGAAGTGTACCGAAAGCTTTTTATAACGGCAAAATGGATTTCGTTGAGTTCTAATGAGAATAATTAGTGAGTAGTGGAGTCTAGCAAATCAGATATCTAGACAGATGCTCATTAATCACATTGGATGGAAAATCTACTATATGTGGTGGCTGGCAGAGGTTAGAGAGAATTCAGCGGTAATTCGATTTTAACTGACTTAATAGCTGAATGTCAACGTGATAGTCACGTAACCTGAAATTCCCTCGATTCAACCACTTAGCAGACACTACTGACAAACAGTCTGAAAGTGGAGTGACAAAATCTATGCCTAAAATAAAAGCAGCTCTTAGTCTATAGACTTGTGTGTTTAGCATAATTACATAATATTGTCACATTTTCGATTTATATATAAAATGAGTTAGTTATTTATTGTAGAAATGATAATAACAGCATGTGTGACCTTTCAGTCAAGGTCATGAAAACAGTTACATGCATAAATAATTACAGACACGTTATTTTTTTCAATAGAAATTGTTTGTTTTATAAAAATGAGTATGGCACCATGTTAAAACTAACTAATAGAGTTTGTTTATCCTAGCCGAGATTATTATTATTATTATTCCTGTTACAATGTGTAACAGTTTTCTGTGACTGTGACTACAATCAGGTGAAACCAACCAAGTTTGTTATTCCGTTTTAGTTGGCAGTTTAATATTAATTAAATGAACGCGGAGGAGTGTGAATAAGAAACACAGTAGTAGTTAGTTGTCGAAAGTTCACCGCTGACAGTCACTCACTCACTCACTCACTCACTCATGCATACACCCACGGCATGTCACCCACCATCTGCACACACAGGCATTTAGTGTAGTGTAAAATCAATGAATTGTTAATAACTCTAATTAATCACAAATCAGATAAAATGCAGATTGACACGCATAGATAGATAGACAGACAGACACATAGGAGGAACGCACTACATACACATACACACACAGACACACTCATTCGAATATGCCGAAAAACCATAGTTAGCACACATACAAATAAAACTAGCAGACACATTTCAATGAGTGTGTATCTATTTAGACAATAACGAATAATCAGTGCAGTTCATTCGTAATTATTGTTATTATTATTATCATTATTATTTTACTGGCTTTAATGTGAGAAACTGTTAACATATATAAATACAGAAATATATATCCTGTCCAAAACAGCTGAATCATGTTTGGATTAGTTCTCTACATAGTGCTACTAGTAGTGTTTACGTTAGGACAATTCTACTATTCCTAATCAATCAATACATTACAACAGCATCACTTGCCTCACCACAGTCAATTATTATTATTACTTTTATCTCGTTCAGACATACATACATTGCTTAATTGCTTTGGATAATAAAATGAATGCCTTGACAATGTACGGACAGATTACTGAAACATTACTGTTGTGATGTTTCGTCTACAAAACATTACACAAACCACACAGAATTCTACAGTTCCTATAAATTAATCATCTTGTAGAGAAGAAATACTTCCTATCTATCTCATTTTTGACCCCTTCGAAAAATCACACATACCCACACCCACACACATTCATATAATTCTGTTCTTCTTCTTCGTGATTTAATATATTGATAATGGAAATGCGAATTTCATATTTCAATCCATATAATTTATTGAATATAATTTTAAGTGTATTCATGCGTGTTGGAATAGTATTCCTACTATCCAACCGAGTTCAATCGGACAGTCAGGTGAGTGAGTGAATTAGTGAGAGAGGGTAAATGTGTACGGTTCATTGATGATTTAAAACCTGACATACTGCTAAATGTCACTTAGTTAATGAGCCCCGGTAGGTAGTACGACAGGAAATGAGAGAATGTTTGCAGTGGGTGGGACTATCAACCACACTTAGTAGTAAGCAATAACACCACTGCCACTGACACTGCAAAGTGAAGCTACATCTATAGATAAAATGTCTTCAGGAGATTAAGAGTCTGTTTCAGCGAATCCAGAAATTCTTCTTCCAAGGTATATTTTATCGGTCTGTTTAGAGAGTATGTTTAATTATGTATACAACACTACAGAGTTGTTCCTTTTTGAATCTCCTAACCCTCTGAAAATAAAAGAAACACGAAACAACTTAGAGGTAGAACAGATGAGGAGGAGGAGGAAAGGAGTGGTTTTTGTGTTGAAAATATTTTGCTGAAGCCTCTCTGCATTACACTTTGATCAACAACTTAATCTGATAGGTTCACTCTGTTGCCATTAAAATATTTAATTAAATAATTCCCAATGTAACATTAAGAACACAATATTCGGCGAAGAAACTCTTTTCGACAAATTATCACTATATGGCGCGACCATTAACGCATGTCATCTGTAGTGAGCATTTGTCTTCACACCCGATCTTCTGTACGACTTTCCTACCTACCTGAATAGGGCCAGTCACTAGTGAGCATCCGAGTGACATTCAAATGTGTTGGTGTGCAGGGATTTGATTGGTTTCAGGATTTCGTCGCGCACTGACATCGGTTTGAGAACCTTTGGAAAACCTGAGAGTACTGGACATCTGTTTTTTCCTCGGTTCGAGCCTTAGTGGGTGAGTGTTGATGTAGAGTCCCAAACCAGGACGAAACATCTATCCAGTACTCCCAGGTTTCCCAGTTGTCCTCAACGTCAGTTCATGATGAAATCCTGAAACCAATCAAATCCCTGCAAACAAACACTTAAATTTGTAAAAAATTATATTTATAATATCTCAGCGATATTGAAATGAGTAATTCCAACGTTTCGTTCGGCAATCTGGTCCGAACTTCTTCAGGGAAATTAATCAAAATTAACATAACAGAGGTTTATATATAAAAGGCACATCTTTTGTTTTTAAAAACTTTGTCCAATCATGATTCATAAACACAAGTATTAACAAGTATAATAAACAAAATTGTATGAGCTGTGATCAAAATTTGACCTCGGACTTACAAATATTGGTCTACCTTTGTTAAACACTTTAAACAGAGTCCGAGGTCAAATTTTGATCACAGCTCATACAATTTTGTTTATTATACTTGTTAATACTTGTGTTTATGAATCATGATTGGACAAAGTTTTTAAAAACAAAAGATGTGCCTTTTATATATAAACCTCTGTTATGTTAATTTTGATTAATTTCCCTGAAGAAGTTCGGACCAGATTGCCGAATGAAACGTTGGAATTACTCATTTCAATATCGCTGAGATATTACAAATATAATTTTTTACAAATGTCTACTTCTCACTCGGCGCCCAAATATTTTAGAACTATTCTGTCAAATCTTGACGACAGTTCATTTGAAACACTTAAATTCATTACCAGTCTACAAAATCGTGTTTACACACATATATATATATATATATATATATATATATATGATTTCTAGGTAACTATATCTATGCGGGTTCTCCTATACGGATCAGAAACTTGAACCGACGTGAAGAATCTAGAAAACCTGGATTTCGCGTGTGAATGATTTATGTTTGATGTCACACAAAATCGAAGACTTTCAAGCGGAAACCGACAAACTTGTTGAAGAAGCAGCCAGAGAAGACAGGACTGCAGGTGAACCTGAAACCAATCTGGAAATCTTCGTCACTCCTAAAAATCAACAACAAAATTCGGATTTTCAATACAAACGTCAAGTCAGTCAGTTCTTCTCTACGGATGGATCAGAAACTTGACGGCGGGTCACAAATAATGAGTATTTCCAACAGCCTGTTGCAGACCTTTATCAACATCTGACTGTCTGCGCTCAATACTCAAGATCAGATCCATATAGAAGAAGTGACTGACTTGACGTTTGTATTGAAAATCCGAATTTTGTTGTTGATGTTGAGGAGTGACAGCGGAAGATTTCCAGATTGGTTTCAGGTTGATGAATGTGTTTCTGGCCTTCCCGATTCTCTCTCGATTTGACATCCTCGTCGGTTCCACCTGCCTGTAGTTGAAACAATGCTCCCTCCCTAGATAAGTGAATGAAGTAACCTCTTTCAAATCCCTCCCGTTCTTGGTGATTGGCGCTGGATTTTGATGCTGTTGTTGTTGGTTGTTTGGTTATTTTCATAACCTCCATCTTATCTATGTTCACCTGGAGTCCTGTCTTCTCTGGCTGCTTCTTAGACCAGTTTGTCGGTTTTTGCTTGTAAGTCTTCGATTTTGTGTGACATCAAACATAAATCATCCATGCGCGAAATCCAGGTCTTCTAGATTCTTCACGTCAGTCCAGGATATCCCTGTCTTCTCGTTTCCCACTGTCTGACGTATACTCGAGTCCACCACAATTAGGAGTATCATTGGTGATAATAAGCACCCTTGTCTGACTCCTGTGTTTACTCCAAACGCTTCGCTGAGTTTTCCGTTGTGGATCACTTGACATGTTCCGTTGTCGTGCAGCTGTCATTGTTACTGGATTATTATTCATTCACTTGATATGGATTCATGAGACCCTTTGTTTCACTTTTTTCAGCTCGAGAATACATTACAACCATCCTGGAATGTCACTGCTGAGTAACTCTCCTCATGTAGAACTTAGCTAATCTTATCTGCTAAATGGCAGATAGTATAGTAAACTCTTTTCCCAACTTGAGAGACGGACGAATAAACCAAATAATGTCAGATAGGGTCTCGTTATCATCCGATAGAATCCATTTTACTACTACGTTTCCATTAAAAAGAGAAACAGGTGTCAGATTTCATAAGAAATCATCTCTCCCCCGCCCCAACCCACCCCCACACACACAAATATTCATTTGACGTTCAACTAATAATAAAAGACTTTTCATTCTGAGCATGTCATTCTGTACATTAAACCGAAAGCCATTCACATTTCAATTTTCTAACTTGTTCAAATGAAATTCGATAATTCAGTGTACAATTTTTTCCACTATTCCTTATGATAAAAGAAAAATAATTTCGACAAACAATCAGATAGATTGAAAAATCAAGAGTAACCTTATTCCTTTTTTGTTTCTCCCCTCACACACACACATACAAACACCACGACAGACGGACAGATTGTTCTGATTTTCAACCTCAATGCTTTTTCATATCCTTATTTTTTGATTATTTTTGTTTTACTTTTCTAATTTCAAGGTCATCTGTCACGATTATTAAGAATGACCAGTTTGAATGACCAGGACTACCACCACCCGAAAAAAAATTTGAAAAAACAGAAAAGTAAGATGTCAGTTTTTTCCGCGAACAATCAGACTGATGAATTCACTCAAACTGATGGAAATCAATTAGATTTTGATTATGAACAAATAACCACATCAATTGGAAGTCTGTCAACATTAATTAATGCTGTTTATCGTTTAATGTTGACCAGTTTGACAGTCATGATAGCAATGGGTGGATTGTTGGTTTGTCTTCATATGATATCAATTCTAGCGCGTATGATTATACGCATCCCAGTGCGTAAGGTAGGTGAAATGAAGGCGAGTAACAGAGTGTTTTTTTTCTACCTTATTTCTCCACAATAATTAATTTGTAAATATTGAACAAATTAGAAAGTTTTAAGGAGTATTTTCCCTTGCAACAAGGAACGCGGTGGGGTGGGGAACGGAGTTGGAAGTTGGTTACTTAGATCTCAGTTACGTGGAACAGGGGCTTACAAGTACCACGTTATAGGCTCCACTTCTGGGGTAAGGGCTATTGGCACTACTGAATTACTCATTCTGAAGGAGTGAAGCAGGATACAAACATCAGAGTCAACGACTCAAATTCGAGCACGTAAGTTGGTCAGCCATAGATAAATAGTCATTACGTAACAACAGAAGACAAGGGTCAGGCAACAGATCGTTTATTAAGGAAAATCAACACGTATCTGTAGATTTCAATGCATATTATTGCGCATTATTGTTAGTAGAAAGTACAGTCTTTTGATTGGTTGTTTCTCACAGAAAGTTAACCTTGTATCTCTTTGTGGCTGTGTCAGATCATCAATATGCTAACTGTATCCGCCTACGCAAAGCCTTTGTTCTCATTTTCTCACCACCAATATTGGCGACATAAACATTGACGTCAATTACTGTCTACCAACTTTGGCTAGCAGCCAGCTCTCACCACAATTATCAGCAGAGGATTAATTTTAAAGAACAACAGCTGAAGTTACCACATACATGAGTATCAGAGGTGTTAAAGTCGACTCAGGGCAGTTTATCCTTCACTCTCATTTCGTTGTGTACATTGAAGTCATATGTTCACCAAGCTTGCTTGAAATATCTCTGTAATTTACCACGGTTTTATAGTGGAGTTTTCCGTATATTGAAGACTAGTGTTGCGTCATTCCCACTGCAGTTACAGACTGCTGATATGGTGAACAGAGATTGTGTGATCAACCGTTCTGTCTATTTACCGAACTATATTAATGATTGAGGATGCCAGATGCAAGCATGAAACCTCACTTCAGAGCTTCTCAGAGACTGCCTTAAATAATAAAAATCAAATAATGGAAGTGCTTGCACATCAACATACATGCGAATAGATTTTAGGGACGCTCAATCCGCTTCTCCTAAGTTGTGGTCAATATATATGCACAGTAAATTTTTTTCTCTTAACGTTCCCCAGTGGAACATAGGGCTTCAAGCTAGAAGCAAAGTCTATTTTTACAGGATGAGGTTGCTAGCCTCATGCCCAACCTTTCCTCTTCACCAGCATTATTTCTAGCTTAGCGAGGTAAAGGAGTGCGTCGGTGGCCGGAAATCGAACCCCGGACCATGTGCATGGTCGGCGAGTGTCCTAACCGCTATACTACCGACGCACGCACAGTACATTCACAATGTTTTTATATCTCAAGAAAGAAAATATGTGACTGACAATTACTCAAACTTAATTTTTTATCCTGAGCGTCAACTTTCACGTAACTCTTGGGAATAATTTCACTGAATATACACATTGGGTCATTGGAGTTATTAAAAAGACAATTGCAGCGAAGAAAATTTTCTTTTCGACGAAGTCATCATCTAGGCTGTACATTCGTGTATTTATATCAAATGGATGGGAAAGTTCCAGAATAATTTCTGGTTAGGGGTTAAATTAATAAAAATTACAATTAGGAATTAGTATGCCATAATAAACAGGGGGATGGGTAAAACTCGAACAAAGTAGCATTATAATAACTAAGAAGATTGACATTGTGCAATTGGGGGTTAGAAATGTAGAAATAACAAAATATACAGGATGTTTGGATAAAAAACTAATGTGATGAATAATTGTTTATGCAATCAGGGATTAAATATGTAGAAATAGTAAAATGACAAAATAAACAGGAAGTGTGGATATGAAAATATGGTAGTGTAGACAGGGATTAAGAAAACTTAAAATAACATGAATAAACAGGAAGTTTAGATAAGAAAGGCGATGGGATGGTCATTATTAAAAAATTTACCTGTTTATGATGGCCATGGCAGGGACAGGGGTTGGACGTATTTCTTTTGGATACAAAGAGTGGGTTTGAGTTTTTGGATAGCTAACGCCTCAGCTATGCCCAAATGTCTTGATTTCACTCCCTTTGATTGAATCTTGTATATTACTTTGAAGGATTTTTCGAAAGGCGCTGAATGTCCTGAGTTGACCAGATGTTCTGTCACTATGTGAATAAAAACAACTTCGTTCATTCGACTTTCTTGATAGCTATACCACAAAAGCTGGCCGTCATAGCCAGTCCTGTCTACGAGGCAGTGCTTTGAGTGCTTCGTTCGAGTCCCAGTAGGTTCACCACAGTTCACTGAATGAAAGCCACACTCAACACGTCTCCTAGATTCCACTGGCAGTTATCACCACTGGTTATAGAAAATAAACTAATCGTATGAATATTTTAATATTTTCCCATTGATTTTCGGCTCCATTTCCGTTTTCCTATTTAGATTTACTATGCATCCAGTTACCCGCCGTATACATCATCTGTTAACAATCAAAGTTATTCACCTACTCCATTTCGACGAAGAAACAGTCTATCAAGGTGAATAAAAAGTGAGAAGAATCGATAATGTGCATTAGAATGCTGCTTGTCTGTCCGCCTGCCTGTCTGCTGTGCAAACTTTGAAACATACTTCATTGGCCTTCTGCTTGGTTCTCTGCACGTCAGAAGATCAACAGCTACCTAATCATTATCAAGATTCGGATCGATGGTTGAAATGTTAGACAATAGGAAATCAATAATAATAATAATAATTTGAATTAATGTTTCTTCAATAATCAATACACTTTTAAACAAAATAGCAATTCAGTGATACTATTGAACATTGAAAGAAAGATGTGAAATATTGAAATCTTAAACTGTTATTTCCCTTTTCCTTCTGCTTGCTCAAAAAATTATTTTCCCTCTATCAATCAATAAATAAATAAAGAAACATGAATAAAATGGAGAGCACAGACGCACACACGCACAAGTTTGCCGAGAATAACAAGAATTTAAAAAAAATACAGTCACATCAATGTCAGTTTTTAATTCAAGCTTCCTCCCCCCCACGCGTATTTCTCATCTCCTTTTGGAGAAAACAAGACAAAAATGTATCTATTCCACTTTCTGGATTTCTGCTGCTTCAAAAAAAAATAGAAACTGTATCATTTTTTGGATTTGAGATATTGCAAAAACAAGTTTGCCTGCGTTTGTG